TCTGGCTGTGGAGATTTGCCCACCACCCGCAGCTTCTCCCGACCTTCCCCTGGGGAGACACCAGCCCGTCCCCCGAGGAGGAGGAGGAGGAGGGTTCTATTTTGTCTGTTCACATCCTCTTACCACCGCTAAATCCCCTCTTTCCTTACAGCGACGGCTGACACCTCTAAGCCTGTCAAGGAAGCCAAGTGCATGTTTCGGCACCACCATCAAACACGTTTATGGCCATTTATCTGAGCCCTTCAGGGGGCTTTTTGATGCTTTTCTTGCATCTCGGGACAGGAGCATCTTCCAGAGGAAGGAACCGTAAAGAATCCAGGTAGAAGGGGGCTGTCGGGGGCCGGGGAGCTCCAATAACCAGAGCAGCCCAAGATCACTACATCACCACGTCACCGCCTAATGCCCAATCTGCGGGCTCCCAGCCTCAGCAGATGAATCAGCCTAGTGTTTCTATTTTTGCTTCCCTCCCCAAGCTATTACTTATCCCTCCTAATGCCTTTGCTGGTTGGTGGGGGGGTGGATTTTTTTAGTTTGGGCTTTTTTTTGTTGGGTTTTTTTGTTGCTGTTGTTTCGGGTTTTTTTGGTTTTTGTTTTTTGTTTTATTTTTTAATCTAACACAATCGTTCCTGTGCGAGTTGTTTCGGGTTTTTTTGTTTTTTGTTTTTTGTTTTATTTTTTAATCTAACACAATCGTTCCTGTGCGATCCTTTGCACCGGTTTCTAAGGCAACATCACTTGCTGGATGATGATTGTGACTCCTTGCCAGCATCCCCCAAACGAACGCCGTCAGTAATTAAGTGTTATTACCCATCACAGCCCCGGCCATGGGACCGAGCAGAACCATCAAGGAAACGCTGTGGCTATAAAAGCCAAAAAACTGTGATTTATACACTCTCTCCTCTGTACATTCACACACACACGTGTTGTGCTGCTCCAACAGGAATATTAGGGATTTTTTTTGTGTGTAAAACAAGCAGAAACACCCAAAACACAAAGCCTGAGGCTTTGGCTGAACCAGCACCTTACATTTCACCTCCCAGTCTGGGAGAACCCAGGAAAAAAGCTAAAATACAGGATAAAGGATAAAAAGGTGAACCAGAATATTTAATATTGTGGCTTTGCACAACAAGCTTTACATTTAAAAGGTGGTGGGGTCCCTGTCCCTGGAGACATTCAGACCCCACCTGGACACGTTCCTGTGGGACCTGCTCTGGGTGGACCTGCTCTGGCAGGGGGTTGGAGGAGATGATCTCCAGAGGTCCCTTCCAAGCCCATGTCATACACACAAGGGTTGTGCCAATGGGCTGCGGAGGGAGCTTGTCACTGGCCCAGCTGGTGCCCATGGAGGGCAGCCATGGAGGTGGCCATGGGGGCTTCTGAGGAAAGAGGGGAAACCGGGCACCAGATGACCACTATTCCCCAGCCCCAGGTCAGGAGATGACCTCCCAACCATCACTGTCCAGCCCCCAACAAGGTTATACAACAAGCTCTTTACTCTGCCAGCCCTGAGGAGCCCCGTGGAGACCATGGACCACCCATGGAGCCCCATGGAGCCCACTGACCATCCATGGAGCCCTGTGGAGACCATGGACCATCCATGGAGCTCCATGGAGACCACTGACCATCCATGGAGCCCTGTGGAGACCATGGACCATCCATGGAGACAGCCATTTCCCGAGGAGCTTACCCAAATCAAAAAAACCATAAGAAGATACAAAACCCAAAACACCGAAACAAAATTAATTCCTTTTTAAAACATAGACTGTTCTTTAAGGACAAATTGCAGGAAAAAATATCTTTTCAAAGTGTGAATGTTGAAACAGAGCTGGAGGGAAGAGCAGGAAATATGAATAAATGGCTCAACGTTGGATGAATGAAAACCCTCCATCATTTCCTCTGGTGACCGCTCCGCAGCCTCGGAGCCCCAGCCCTGCCCCTGCTCGGAGAAACACACTTTAGGACCCCGCTTTTTAGCCATAATTCCCACTTTTAGCTTTAATTCCACGCAAGGAGCAGCATAAAAGCTCAGCCATATTTTAAAGGCTGATAACGTTCGAGATGTTTCAGTTTTCATCTCGGCAGCCTCCTGACATGAAAAGGCACAAAGTAGTTTTCCAGAAGAATCTGGGACAGTTCTTACAACGATAACAACAAAAATGAGAAGCTGAAATAAATCCTGAAAGATGGATAAGGGATTAAATTCAAATTGCAGGAAGAGCCTTACATCCCACACTTCTTAACTTTAAGCTGCAAAGTCAAAATTAGAAAAAAAAAAATAATAAAATGAAGGAAGTTTGCAGGCCTGGTTTATAAAAGATACAAACAGCTTCCATCAGGGAGAGGAATCTGCAGCATCACGGTTGCCATGACTCCCCGAGGGAGCTGTATCACAGGGTTCCTACCCATCTCAGCCCTATTTCAGCACAGGAAATGGTCCCATTATTCCAGAACATGCCATGGAAGCAATGGGAGCCCGGCTAAAGAGATTTCACTTCCTAAACTCCGGCAGAAGACCCTCCAAAATACCTACACACACGATTCCAATGTTATCTTAAGTGTTGTCTTAACAGGAGGATGAACTGAACTGTACAGACCAGGGCCCCAACAGCTTAGTGAAATCTGGAGTTTAACCATTTTACTGGTCTCCTGGCTCCCTCCAGTTCCTTCCCTGCCCAGGGAACAAGCACCTTCACGTTCACCGTCTTGAAATCTCAACACCTTCCCTTCACCGAGTTCTGGTTTTAACTTGTGCTCAACCTGACGCATGAATTCACTCTTTCACCCCCAGATTCAGCCTCAGGCACTTCCACCCCAGTGGTGCCAGTTTAGGGACTTTGCTGGTGTTTTGCAACTCACTGAGCAGTGACTTTGTTAGGAGAGATCCTCAGTGATGGATCTGGATGGCAAAGCAGCAAATCTGTTGCCTGGCTCCTCCACTGCTACGAGCCAGACAGCAACTGAGGCTTCATCCCACAGCCCAGATGTTGTGTGGTCCTCATGGACCATCCAAAGCCACACCAGTGGCTCCTCCGCAGCCCCACATCTGGTGGCACTTGGATTTAAACTGCCCCAGGAACACAGAATCATAGAACCGTTGAGGTTGGAAGAGATCTTTAAGACCACTGAGTCCAACCATCAACCAACACTGTCCAAGCCCACCACTGACCCATGTCCCTCAGCACCACGTCTGCCCGGCTTTTAGATACCCCCAGGGACGGTGACTCCACCACTGCCCAGAGCAGCCTCTTCCAACCCTTTCAACCCTTTCCAGGGAGAAATTTTTCCCAATATCCATCCTAAACCTCCCCGAAAATAAGCTCTGTCCTTCAGAGCTTCTATTAAAAAACCAACCACTTAGTCTACTTAGTCTGTCAAGTGCTGAAAGGGTGAAAGAAAGACTAAGGGTGAAAGAAATTGAGTATTACAAACGCCCTGTGCAATATTCCCACTTCCTCGGGTGCAGATGTGCTGCCCCAAACCAGGGATCCTCGGTCTCCGCACACACGTTACCTGCGCAAAACATCTTCTCCACATGGATCTGCCACTAAAACTCTGCTCCCTTGAAGACAGCAGTGAGTCAAGGAAAAGAAAGACTTCTGGCAGGCAATGGAAAGGCTTTAAAGATGGGGTTGTTTTTTGTTTTTTTTAAAGAAAAAAGATGCTGCCTTCAGCTTTCCCTTTATTTCGTAGCATCATGCACCATAGAACGTTACTTGGGCAGGCACAAGTCCATGCAGGAAACACCACTTTCGCTAAAACAGAGCTACTTCAGGTTATGCAACACTCATTAAAATTACAAAAACCTCTCCAAAAAAACCTGTGAGCAGCATGTTAAGGCGCACTCCAGCCCGGGCTCTGGGTACGTTAGTGGCTGCATCATGCAAAGGGGCAGTGGGGAAGAGCGACAGGAACAAACCTTCATGCCCAATGACAAAAAAGGCAAAAAAACCCACAGAGTGGCCCCAAGGGCAGGGATGGACGTCTCCCCCCTTCAGGGGGACAGGAATTCACTGAAAAGGTGCCAATTCTTCCCGAGGAAGGTTTGGAATGAGAAGTAGAAGGGTAGTTTTATTGAAATATTTCATCTGTATGTCTGTATTCCTCCGTACTGTATTCTCCGTTTCAAAATTCCTACAGACTTCATTAAATTCTATCCAATTAGTTCCACCTCATTTCCCATGAGCGCGGGGATACTGTTCCCTGGCCACCAGCCAGGGCAAACAGTCTAAACCACTTCCCAGGCCATCCCCGCTCTCAACAGAGAGATAAAGTCTTTTAAAAAAAAAAAAAAAAAAAAAAAATCTCTATCAGTCTTGCTATTGTTTCCTTAAAACCCTGTTTTAATAAAGATCGTTATTCTGGAAGGAAGCACGTTTTGTGGAGGTAGCAGTTTGAGGTAGCTCAAGATAAAGGCATTAAGGAATGGCAGGAGGAGGAGGAGCAGACGGCTGCAGACAGCCCGAGGTAGGATTAAAACCAAACCCTGCAACTTGGTAGCCACCGAGGAGATTTTGTAGCCCCGAAACAGGATGCTCCCTGCCCACCAGTGGCACCCAGAGCTGCCCAGGGGGTGTGAGGATTCACCCTTCGCATCCCAGATGAAGGTGATGACGAGAAGCTATTGTAACTCAGCACCAAAAAGTGCGTGTTTCCCTAAATATTCTCCAACATACACGTCCAATTAACCCTGAGGGGGTTAAAATAAATAAATAAACGAGGAGTTGTGGAACTGGGAGCGAGCCGTCACTCCGGCAAACCCTGGGGATTAGCGCTGTGAGACAGGCAAGCAGAACCAACAGCCTTTTTTGTTTTTTTAAGACCAGCCAAAAAAAACACCACCAAACCACACCAACCCAACCCAACCCCCAGCCATGCCAGGCTGGCTTGTGCCAGGGAGGGTTATCCCGGTTAGGGGGTTCATGCCAAGGCAGGGACAGAGAGCGAGGCCTGGCACGCAAGCGCCCGCGGGGCTGCCCGCGGCCCACACGGCAAACACACACCTTTCTCCTGCCGCTGGGGCCGGCTCAGAGCCCCCGGTCTCGGCTGCTTTTCTCTCTCCCGGTCCGGAGGAGCAGCCCTGGCTGGCAGAGGTGGCACCCCTCGAGATTTTGTGGGTCTCATGTAGCCTTTTATGGGTTCTGCCACTCTAACTCTCTCTTTCTTGGCCTCCTTCATAGCTTTTTGGTCACGTTCTTCTTCTTTTTCTTTGGTTGTGCCTTCGGATTTATCCGCTTGGGACTTCAAGGTTGGGGCATCCTTCAGGTGGGCTTCCCCAGCACCAGCAGCATCTTCTGCTGCCGCCTCAGAACGGCCTTTATGGGCATTTTGGGGACTTATCTGGGTTGTCTGGGCAGGTGTCTGGTTTAAATCAGCAGCTTCCCCTTCGGCCACTTGATTGTCCAGTATCTGCTCGCCCTTCCTACCTCCATCCAGCTCAGCTTCTCCAGCTTTATCCTCCCTCCCTGCTCCTGCCCCGCTGCCGGGTACCGCTGCGACTCCTGGGGAAACCCACCCCGTGGCCTTCTCTCCAGAGGAGATGGCTCCTTCTGGTTTCTCTGTCCCTTTGGTGTCTATAGCAGCCGGTCTGTTGTTTGAGTCTTCCACCTTCTGCAGAAGGTCTGGGGAAACGCTGTCAGCATTTTGCTTTTTATCAGTGGGTTTTATTTCTTTATCCCCCACCTTGGCCACAGGAGAAAGGTCAATTTCATCCTTCTTTGATTTCACCTCCTGTTTAACCCAACCATCCGCAGAAAGAGGTTTATCCATCTCGCTCCCGTCCTGGGAACCAGCCACTTGGGTTTTGCCATCTTTCTTCAAAACATCTTTTCCAGGCTCTTCGTGTCCCAGGTCGGTCGGTCGCTCGCAAGATTTCTGTGCCTGGTTCTCCTTCTTCGTGCCAGACCCCAGTTCTCTGCTGCTGTCTTTGGCCACTGCTTCAGGAGGAAGAGGAGGAAGAGAAGAAGAAGGAGGAGGAGGAAGGTCCTTACTCCTCATCCCCTCGTCTCTCTGCTTTGGGAAGCCAGAGGAAACCTCGCTGGCGTTGTCAGGGCCAGCTCCTGCAGGCTGAGCAGAGGACTCCAACTGGGTTCCTTTATTATTCCAAAGCATTTGAGGGCCAACGGGGAAGTTTTTAATATTTCTGTTTTCATCGACAAAATCCGTGTCTTCCAGCCCGTATCCCATCGCAGACCCCGCGGGAGGTTGCGCTTCTCTCTTGTTCTTTTTTGGCTCGAGAAAAAGAGGTTGCTCAGAGGCCTTTTTAGCCTTTTTACTGCTTCCATCATAACCCCTCTTTTTAGATCTATCAGTGGGAGCGGGATCAGCTGCCGCCGGAGACCCTGGGACGGGAATTCCACCCCCTCTGCCACAAGGAGCGGGACTTTCTGCTTCACACGTGTTGGTTTTCTCCACATCATGAGGAGGAAGCGTCTCCGCTCCTGTTTTATGCTCCAGGAGACACGGCTGCTGCAAGTCACCCTCCATCTGTTTGCATTTCTCTTTGTTATTTGCCTGGGATTTTTCTGGCTCTGGAGGAACAGCCGGAGCTGGGATTCCAGCAGGATCCCTCGGCTCACCTGGCAGGATCGCTGGAGCCCCCTCCTCTTTGCCTTTACCAACAGACTGAGGTTGTTTAACATCTCCCACCTCTTCACCTGTCGCAGGGACGTCACCTGGACCCAGCACAGGGGGCTCGGGATCGTTTTCAGCCTTTTTGCCTTTGAAATCTCTACTTTTTTTCTTAGGCTTGTCCATCCCCAGCTCCCTGGTGGGACCACGTGCCGCAGCCGCCTCTGCCCCACGCTCTGGGGGAGGCTGGGGTCTCTCTAGTTCCTCACCTTTACTCAAGGGCCAAGTTTCTTTAGTGTTGACTATTTCTGGCTCCACTGCCTCTATTTTCTGACCTGAAAGAGCCGGCTGACTAGAGAAACCTCTTCTATTGTCACTCGGTGGCTTTTCCAGCACCTCTTTGGTCACACCTGCCAGATTCTCCACCAAAACCTCTCTTTCCAAACCAGACACTTTATCTTTACCCAAGCTCGTTTCTTTTGTGTTTCCAGCTCCCTCCTCTCTCCCCGGAGAACGGCCTTTTTCCCCCCCTGCATCGGGGAGAGCCGCCTGCCCCAAAGGGCTTTTCTCAGATTTTTTCCTTTTCCCATCACTACACCTCTTCCGAGCTTTGTCTGCGGCATCAGAATTTATCGCAGCCGCTTCGCCTGCGGAAGCAATTCCAGCCTCTTTGCCTTGATTAATTAAATCTACCTCCTCCCTCGTGCTGATGGTGTCAGCCACAGCAAGATGCTTTTCCTCTCCCCCGCTCCCCAGCGGGAACGGTTGGGCTAAACCACCCGACTCAGCTATTTCACTTTTCCCAATGTTTTCTTTCGGCTTCTCTGTGACCAATTCAATTGACTTTTGCATCCTGGTTACACCGGATGCACCCTCCTGAAAACCCTCGGCAGCAAAACAGCCCCTCTCTCCGCCTTGATCGCTACCTCCCTTCGTTTTATCAGTCAGCTCAGGAAAACCCCTTGGCTCCATCTTAGTCTCCAGAAAAGGCTGCTGGAAAAAGCTTCTTTCACTTTTTTTGCTTCTCCCGTCGCTACCTCTCTTTTTGGGCTTGTCGGCGGGGTAAGCGTGGGTACCGCTCCCCGACGGGTGGCCTCGGGCAGGAAAACCTCTGCCTTTATCAGGGAAACCCATCTCTTTTAGAGCCTCCTCTGCCCTTGCTCCATCACCAGGTTTGCCTAAACCCTCCCAAAGCATCGCCTGCTCGGGGAAGCTTTGGGTTTTTTTCCCTTTCCCTTCACCCCGCTTTTTTTTCGGCCTGTCCATGCCCTGTGCCGCGCTGGGATCTCTTCCAGTCTGCTGCTCTAACCCGCTCAATCCTCTCCCTTTGTCTGTCGCGGGGGAATCTGCTGCCGTGGCTCCAGCCCCTGCTCCTGTGACTCCATCCCCTGCTCCTGTGACTCCATCCCCTGCTCCTGTGACTCCATCCCCTGCTCCCACCCGGCCGGGCTGGAGCGTCGTCTCGGATTTTGCCAGGGGAAGAAAAGGCTGCTCTGAAAAACCCTCAGCTTTTCCCCTCTGCAAAGCAGCGACTGCCTCAGGTTTGGGTAAAATTAAGGGCGTAACAGGCATTTCAGTCGTATCTGTCGGAGATTTCGCTACTCCCTCTGAAGCACTAAAGCCAAGGCGCTTGTCGGAGGACACTGGTTTAATCCCACCAGCTGCCTTTGGCTCATTAGGAAGCTTCTCCATGGGGACCGTGGCCTCCAGAAGAGCAGGTTCTTGGGGGCATCCATTCCCAACCCCTTTGGTTTTGTCAAAACCACCTCTTTTCTCTTCCTGTGCCTGCAGCTGGGGATGGAGGGTGTCACCAAACGCTTCGCGCCCAGGAGACGCGCATTTGGCCTCCTTAGATTTATCAGAAAGGAGCAATTCTGGAGGCTTGGTCTCTAAAGTTGTTTCTACTTTGCTTAAATCAACGGCTTCCGAGACAGACGGCATCGGGTCGGCACGTTTTGACTCCTTACACTCCCTCTTCTCATTTTTATCAAGAAAATCTCTTTCCATGGGCTTGGTTGGCACCTTTGCTGCAACAGATTCCTCCCCCTTGGCCGTGCCCATCTCCTGTGAGGGACCTTCTCTTCTTCTGCCTTTGGACCGTGACACCCAACCCTCATCTCTCCTTTCTTCTCTTTTCACAACGTCTCCATTTTTTGCATCCGAGACAACGGCCTCTAAGGGCACGGTGGGTTTTTGGGCCTGTCCTGGGGCTGGCACCGAGAAGGCACGTTCCTCCTCCGGGATATGAATTCCCGGTAGGGTTTTAGCCTCCTTTGGAATTCCTGGAGCTCTGCTTCCAACCGCCTGCTCTTGGCGAGCTTCGGCCGGCAGGACGGGACAGACGGCTGGTTTTTGGGATTCAACAGCAAAGGGAGAATTTCTGGGAGCTCTGTCATCCCAGAACTCCATGGATCTGGGCAGCTGGTTTCTCTTTTGTTTCGGTTTCTTCTTCTTTTTCTTCGCCACGGCCAGAGAACCTTCCGGATCCCAGCTCTCCCTCGGCAGGTCCCTGCAGCTCCCCGCAAACTCCGGCCCCGCGTTGGGCGGCTGCTCCGGCGCCTTTGGAGGGGAAACCCAACTGCGAGGGGAGGTCCCAGCAAAGGATCCGAGTTCGGCAAGAGAACAGGGGTCTACTTTTGGGTCAGGGCTCTTCCGGAGCGGGAGACCCACCGGCCGCTCCTCTGGGACATCGGCAATAGGCACCGGGGCAGGTTTTGCTCTGCCAAACCTGCGTTCACTGGATTTGTGAGCGTGCCTTATTTGTGCAGTGGGGAGACCTGGAATACAGGAAGCCTGCTCAAACATCGAAGAAACTATTTGGGTTTTTGTTGTTTTGTTTTTTTTTTTTAAATTAATTTAAATGTTATACTCTATATGTGGTTTTAGCCATCTAAACCAGTCCATACAGGCACATACGCGGAATTTTCCAGCACTGATAACCACACTCATTCTAAATCCACCTCAGCAGGGCTGGGATAGACATTTCCACGCAAAACCTATTTAAACCGCCACCGATAAATGCGTCAATGCTATTTAAAAAAAAAAAAAAACCCAAACACAACATAATTCCTGATACATGCTCTTACCCCACCGAAAAGCAACAGTTCCTGTAAGGACATGCTATCTCTTTTTAAAAAAAATGCATTAAGGATCCATTTTGCCTTTAGCGAGACAAGAAGACAAGAGAGACTTTTTTGTAGCCCTCCCTGGCATCCTTCCAAAAGGTGAAAATACAAATTAAAGGGGAAGATGAGAGCGGGGAAGGGGGGAAGGGGCGTGATGGGGAAAGGGGTGGGGGGAGCAGAACCCCCGGAGCGGAAGTCGTTTGCTGCGCTCCGTTAGGGGCAGCGCGAGGTTTCCTCAGCTACGAAAGCCACCAGTTTTAATGAGAGCATCAGTCGTTTGTCAATTAGCCCCGGCCCATAAATGAGGCTCCGGTTGGCAGCGGGAGCATCACCAGCCCATGGGAGAGGCTGGTGCAGGGGAGCAGGAAGAAAATGCCATTTTCCTTTGGTAATTACCAAAACTCAATTTGGAAGGAGGTCGGTCTTCAGCAGGAATATTGCAATGAGAATTAAGGGTCCTTTTTAACACCCAAATGAAAAAGGCAGCAAGAAATGGCAAAACGATGGTGAGGTTTTAAATTCTACAGCAGGACAGAGAAACCACTCCCGGGGAGGAGGAACCAGCAGAACCCACGTCTGGGCTTTTAGTCCAGTGAAAAGGGAGAGGAAAAAGCTACTGAAGAGGGCAGGGATTAGAGGCAAAGTGCAAGCAGAACCGCTGAGGGATGCAAAGAACCGCGCGGCCGCTCGGTGCAAGAAAGATTTCTGCTGGCTCCAGTGGCAACGCAGCCAGTGGGAAAAGGTGAAGAGTTCACGGAGGATTTTTCCATTGCAAAAAAATAAAAAATAAAATATTGAATTAGGATTTATATTCTACCTGTGGGTTCCTGCGGGGGTTTTTCTTGCTGAGGTTCTGCGTGTTGGACGTGGTTGTGTTCAGCCTCCTTCTCCGGAACAGCAACATCCACAGAAATCCCAGATTTCTCCAGAGTGAGGTCTTTATTTTCTAGTGCAACGGCTTCTTTTGCTTCTACTGGAACTGAAATATGAAAAATTGTGAACAGAATGTTCTAGGTCTTAGGAATACAGGCAACCTGCAGTTTAAAAGCAATGGTATAGGTTTTATTTTTATTAGGAATAAAGTTGATAAGATCCAGTTGTCTACTATGTATTACCCACTCACAATCCCATTTTAAGCAGCAATTTTATATCTTGGCAAAAATGCTGCAGTGGAGGGAAAACACAAAGCAAAGACCATCTTGGGGTGAGGGGGTTGGTTGTTTCTTTTTCCTCTTTGTAATCAATCAAATTGAGACTACCCTGGCTTCCCATTGGAATTCAAATCCCAGATATACCCCATTCTCAGGCTGGAGTCCCCATCTAATGCAAATCACCTAGTATTCATATATACCTTCCAATATATTCATGCAGACACTACAAAATTCCTAGCTACGCATAATTATAACAAGTTTTAATTTGCAAGACATCATTACACTGGAGAAATGTTCTATGTATAGTTAATTGGAGAACAGTTCTATGTATAATTAATTTTAAATAGAAATAAAAATGATGACAGGCGTCGGTACAACTATGGACGAGGAAGAAAAAGACAAGTTATATGATGGTAATTTCAAATGTTATGACCCCCACCTATTGCTAACAGCCCCCCTGTTTGCACACACTAATAATAACCTTCCAGAAATTAACCCTTTGTGATTTTGTCCTCACTAAGGACAGAACGGTGTCTGCGAGGAAGAGCTTGGCTGCTGGGGCAGGATGAGCTGAGTTTTACCCTGTGCTTGGCATTTCTCACCTGCTGGTTCCGAGCGATGGTTGGTCTGAGGTGGAAGATGTTCCTCCTGGGGACCGGGAGGTTCTCGGCCGCCTTCAGCTGCCTCTGAAGGACCAACACAAGCTTCTGGGACTTTCGATTCCTGTTTTGCTTCTGCAAACAGAAGGTAGAGGATAAAAATTCACATTATTTTTAATTTAGATCAGATGAAGCCAGACAAAAATCACTCCCTCGCCTAATTCTTGTCTTCCACAAGAAATTAAAGGTTTTCCTCGCTTTCAGACCAGCAATAATCTGCTTTTTAGGATCCCTTTCTACCAGCTCTCCCCTCCCGAAAGCCAAAGTGTTCTGCTAAAGCAAATCTCCTGTACTGCTGGGTATTTACCCTGTCAGTCACCCTCCTCTACCTCTGTTACTATGTCCTGGCTGGGATTTTTTTGTTAAAACTTCTTTTTTGAAATTTATTCCTATCATTAAACGAAAGAGCATTAGAAGGGAAGAAAGAAAATATCTCGCTCCAACTCCTTCTCCAATCAATCCTCATCTACTGCCTCTGCCCAGTTCTTATGTACTTATTTACTTATTTAGTTATATTTTAACAGTACTTTTCTATCCAAAAGGAATATCCTTAGAGAAATCTGTGCAGCAGAGAAAAATCTATTGCCTAGCACATGGACAAAACCAAAATTCCCACTTCAATGCCCACAGTCCTTCCAAGGAAATGTCACAGAATGATCAGAGCCTTTAGTCTGGTCAGAAACTACTGTGAAAATAAGAACCTTTGTTTGAAAACACCGTGTCCTACAGGGTCTGTGGAGATTTCCGTATACGCTGAGGATGACGGCGGTACAAAAATGAGTACAGGGATGAATTAAAATGTCTCTAGGGTTGTCCTAAAAAAACATACATCGCTGCAGAGGATGCCAAATTAAAAAAAATAAAAATTAAATAGTTTCATTTTATATGTTATAAGCAAAAAAACCTCACGAAGCACTTCCTCAGCCTGATATTGACAGCAGAACTGAGCTCCACTGAAGATGTTTTGTGCAGGGCGTATCATGGTCTTTACTACTAAAAAAAAATATCTGCTTTTCATTTGCCAGCACTAGGACAATTCTGCTCCATGTGGCCACCGCGATGTGTTACCGGGAGCGTTGCTGTTAGAGCTCTGCCAGCTCCCAGAGGCCTCTTCACACCTCCTGCTGTGGTATTTTGAGCCTGAACAAAGCTTTTGGGCACCAACACTCACCTGCAGGAGGTTTGTCGAAGGGCGACTTGTCTTGCTCAACAGAAGACTTGGGTGTCGTCAGCTCCTCGGATGCTGCAGCCTTGGTGTCTGCTGCAGAAGGGGACTTGGCTTCTGTGGAGGCAACCCCAGAATCCAGGGCAGGGAGAGGTTTGGCTTCTGCTGGAGGAGCAAACCCAGAATCCATCGTGTGGTGATGGTTGATTTCTGCTGCCGGGGCAAATCCTGCATCTTCTGCTGGGGCAAATCCAGAAGCCACATCGTGGTGAGACTCCACATCTGGTGCTGGGGCAAACCCCAAATCCACATCGTGGTGAGACTCCACATCTGCTGCTGGGGCAAATCCTGCATCTTCTGCTGGGGCAAACCCCAAATTCACAGCCTGGTGAGACTCCACATCTGGTGCTGGGGCAAACCCCAAATCCACAGCGTGGTGAGACTCCACATCTGGTGCTGGGGCAAACCCCAAATCCACAGCATGGTGAGACTCCACATCTGGTGCTGGGGCAAACCCCAAATCCACAGCATGGTGAGACTCCACATCTGGTGCTGGGGCAAACCCCAAATCCACAGCGTGGTGAGACTCCATACCTGGTGCTGGGGCAAACCCTGCATCTTCTGCTGGGGCAAACTCCAAATCCATAGTGTAATGGGACATGGTATCTGCTGCTGGGGCAAAGCCAGTATCCACAGCAGGAGGACCCTTGGCTTCTGGCGCAGGAGCAAACCCAACATCCACGGCCTGAAAAGGGTTGGTTTCTGCCACGGGGGCAAATCCAGCATCCAGAGCCTGGGGGGGCACGGTGTCCCCTGCGAGAAGGGAGCCAGCGTTTTCCGCAGCAACGGCGGTGACATCCCAGGCAGGAACAGAGGCTGCATCTGCTCCAGAAACAGACACCACCACCAAAAAGAATGGAATTAGCTCAAAGTGTGGTTTTACGACTAGAGAAGATGGGGCTTTCACTCCCTGTCTTCCAGCATCACCTCCTCCCCCCGTTACCCCAGAGCACTCCACTTGCTCTAGACTTTAGGACCCTTCATTTGGAATCTCATTTTATGCCGTTGGCGGGTGGTGACTGTGCTGTCACCCAGCAGAAGTGCCACCACCCCAGACACAACCACTGCCCCCAGGGAATCACCAACTGCCCTTTATTCTTTCATCCCCCAACTCAGCCTCATTCGTTTGTTTGGGTTTTTTTTACATTAATATCTCCTAAACACTGAGCTGTTAGTTTCAAAATAACATTTGTCAGCTCACAGCACAATCAGACCTCTGCGCTTAAGTTAGCATTTTTCTCAACATCCCCTTAAACGGGTTGGATTTTTTTTTTTTTTTTCCAGTCAGTTTTAGTTTAGCATCCCAGCTGTCTAGAGGCAAATTTTCAGAAATTATCCAGAGCCAGAAGCAGTGGGTTTCTCTTCGGCAGCGACTCATCGCAGCGGCCCCAAGCGCTGCGGGGGGTGACCCCGACATCTCCCGTGAATTGCTGGGTAGACATTAGGAAAAAAGCCTAACATTTCTACTGATAGCTCCACTCACGTCTGAAAACATCCTCCCCCCTCAATGGAAAACCCATTAAACCTTAAATTAGATTCTTAATAAACTGAAAAAGGAAAGAAATCAGAAAAAAAGGGAGAAAGTCCTTTTTAAAATAGCACTTTGGGATCCATTTAGACAAGACCAGTGTTCCAGTGAAGCAAACCAAAACGATCCATTATGGACTCATTTGGGTTCATCCTTTTTTTTCTTTCTTTTTTTTTAAAAGTGATACCATGATCCTCCCCAAAAAAACTTACAGACTGTGATTTTATGGAAGAACGAGACAGTAAAGAAATAAGATATTAAAAGCAGAATGGATGTTCCTTGGTGAATCATGGAAAATACTGGAATAAAGCCTAAGGAGACTGGACAAAGAATGGAGCAAAATGGACCACGAGTCTGATGCTGGGGAGAAATAGCTGAAAAACTCTGTTTTAAAGAGAGTCTTTAAGGAATTTTAAGGAGTCTTTAAGGTCTTTTAAGGTATTTATATACAGCATCAGACTCATGGTTAAAACAGGGTCTTGATGCACCTCAACATTTTTCTGGAGCTAAAATTTTGAGGAAGTAACTAGAATCATAGAATCGTCAAGGTTGGAAGAGACCCTTGGGATCATCGAGTCCAACCAACTAAATCAGTTTCTGGACTGTGCCACAAGAGTTGAAAAGTCCATTAAACTCGTTATTTCTCACCAGCCCAATCCAGGGGTGAGAAACCTTTAGCCCCAGTGGAATTTGTTAACACTTTGCTGCATTTCCTTCAGCAGAGGCAATTCTGTGGCTTTCCACCATGATGATTTGCTGACCTAAACCCAGCACCACTCTTTAAACTGGGACAACGTTACCTGTGGTGGCACCTTTTGGTCCATCGGCAGCTCCAGCCCCTCCTGGGGACACCGGTACCGTGGGAGGGACGACGCCAGGAGTCACCGCTGCGGGGTTTTCCGGTAAATCCTTGATGGTTTCGGTCGCTGTGGGGGGCACTGGGAATATAAAATGGAGTTTGACTGAGCACTGGGACCTCAGCAAACAGCGTTCTCCTCTGGAGCTGCCAGGAGGTGAATCACCCTCTCGAGGTGCCACCTGCAGCAGAGCTCACCCTGAGGAGTAAGTTCCACCCCGTTTTAGCATCCCAGCTGGGTGGCACGAGAGGAAAATCAGGTTTTTATGGACAATTTTCAGAAGATTAGTTTGTGTAATGACTAGAAAAAACACTCTTCTATCTTGAGAGAAGCTGCTGGTGGGACAAAGTCAAGGAAGGTTCAGTTCCAAAGTGTCCCAGTTCTACCCTCAGCCCCCAGTTCCAGAAGGACCTTCTACCCAGGACCAGTGCTCAACTACTTCCTTCATGGCTTGTTCACCAAAATTGGCCAAAAAGATCCCATTATGGATCAAAAATCATAATACACATGCAACACAATGGAATTATTTACTCAGACTTGACTGTGACCATAATCTGAAGGTAACTGGAGAGAGTACGTACGTTTGCAATTCAAATTTAGTTTAAAATTGTGTTTTAAAGAATAAGCCAAAGTTGGATTAAACTTTTTAAAGCATTAAAATAAGAGGGCTCTGATTTATCACTAAAATCAGCAGCTTTGATTCTCGGTGGGTACAAAGACAAGAATCCTTGACCGTAGCCAAGTCCCACTTTTAGAGTCTCTTTTCAAGAGTAAATTTTCTTCACCCTATTTATTATTTTAGCATCAAGCGACGCTTGGACACACATCCCAACTGGGAATTGTGGCACCTTTGCTGTAGTGGAGACACAGAGAATGGAAACAGTCTGGAATCCACAGAGTTTGCTGCTGAATGTATGTTTTTGGCACACATCTGTATCTGATAAATTAATTCCCCAAAATCCACGAAAGGGCCTGTTTTCAGTGGGTTAAAGCCCTGACACACAACGTGCCCCCAAAAGGACATCCTGCCACTAATATCGACTGATTGTTGGGCTTGGAACTGCATATATTAAATTTGTTATCCTAAATTCGAAGCAAAGAGTCTCTCTAAAGGCAGGGTTCTCCCCATCTCGTACCGCACTAACACAGAAAGTGCGCGTTAAGTAACACCCATTTCTGCTCTAAATTGATTTGAGACCCAGAAATGGTGTTTTTCTTGGTCAGGTCTTGCTTCACTCCATCAGTGCCTTTTGAGAAGATGGACACGGGGTGAAGCTCTGCCTCTGCCCTTCACAAACTCTCCACAGACGCTTCCTGAGGGTCAAATCAAAAGGATTGTTACCTGATGGCTCAACAAAGAAAGAGGCATCTGGTCCCTTCGCATCAGGCTGAGCTCCCATCCAATGTTCTTCAGGCACTACAGAAAACAAACACACACATTTTGTCCTGCCTCTAACGCCGATTTATGTTGTCAGCCAAAGGTATTGACCCTGCTGTTTCATGAGCTCATTCTCAGGTAACTTCTCAGTTCCCTTAAGAACGGCACCAGAACATCATGTTCTTCTGTGACTATTGTTAGTGAAAGCCTCTGTCAGAGAAGAGTTACTGACTCCAGGACCCGACAGCAGGTTCTTTGCCCAGTTCTTCTGGGTAACTGGCTCCAGGTGGCCCTGCTTTAGCAAGGAGCTTGGACAAGATGTTCTCCAGATGTTCCCCATCCGACCTCAACCCTCAACCTCAACCTTCTGTGATCTCCTGACATCTTCAGAATGTTCACGCTGAACCAAGAACTGTCATTGCCCACAGGATACCTTCTCATCTCCACTTATTTTATGTATCAACTCCCCCACCAAGACTCTTTAGGACTATAAGCCATGATTTTCCAGCTGCAAGACAGACAATAAGAGCAAAATATCTATTTCTTACCTGCTTTGTCTTGTAGAAATTCTGTGGGTGAAACCAGGCCTACGAAGGCTGGTGAGTTGAGAGCCTCTGCAGAAGAATACATGGGCCCCAAGTAAGTTTGCTCAGGTACCACCATAGATCCATGTGGGGCTAATGAAATAAAAAGACCATTTGTTAATCACTACGCCCTAATGACTCCCTTCCAAAAGAAAAAGTCTGTACTACTCTTGGAAAATAAACTTGTGTTCTGCTCACAAGCAGCTCAGATAACGGTCATAAGTAGCTCTCGCAATTAGCTCATCTTTAGAAACTGCACAGTAAATTATGTAGCATATATATAATTTTTTAACAAGGGGTAAAACAGTAAACACTGACAAATTAGTTCCCTTTTGCTTTCTGCTTCTCCTCCCATGAATTCCTGTTAAAAACCACTTAAATTCCAATAGTCCAAAAACTGAAGACCACGCTGTGGACAAAGTTCATGGGTATTCGTTTTCTACCCATGAAGACAAGAGCCATCAGTAATTCCTGCTTTAACTCAACTGCTCTAGTTGTCCTGTTTCCCTCTGCCTAAATACACTTCAAGAAAACCCTCCTGGAAGTAGCTTCTGGAATGGCTTTCGGTACAAAAAAGAAAAAGAAGTGATTATATAGTCTGTGAACTTATCCACTTAATAATTTTCAGTACAGGAAAGTCAACAGAGAAGACACCAAAAGCTGACCGTCAGGGACAAATCACAGGACGGTTTTGGTAGGAAGGGACATTAAAGACCATCCGGTTCCACCCCCTCCTGCCCTGGGCAGGGACACCTCCCACCAGACCACGTTGCTCCAAGCCCCCTCCAACCTGCCCTTGAACCCCTCCAGGGATGGGGCAGCCACAGCTTCTCTGCCCAACCTGGGCCAGGCTCTCACCACCCTCCCACCAAACAAGTTCTTCCCCACAGCTCAGCTCCATCTCCCCTCTTGCAGTGTCCAACCCTTCCCTCCCTGATCCAGAGTCCCTCCCCAGCTTTCCTGGAGCCCCTTGAGGGACTGGAAGGGCCTCCAAGGTCTCCCTGGAGCCTTCTCTTCTCCAGGCTGAACAACCCCAACACCGAGAAGGAGCTCACCATGGACATCTCTGGAAGTGTCAACATAATCTGGGAACAGCGGCACATTCTTCATGTCAGTAGAGAATGATAAATCAGGCAGAGTCTCCCCTCTGTGCATGCTGAAGGGGTCTGCAGGGAAGACAAGAACAAGGCCAGTGTCACCACACATGGGGAAGACATGATGAAGAGCGAGATCAATTGAAAAACAAGATGAAGATACACTTGACACCACCACTGGACTTCCGAGGGAAAGCAGACCAAGGAAAACCTGTGGAAGCTACATGCTCTCCTCCCCGAGAAGGGTTCACCAGTAAAGACTGACTGGTGGCCAATATTTCAACCAAGTGACAACCCAGAGAGGAAAATAACACATTTCCCAGTGCCTGGTTGGTCTAACGTGCCTTCGCTTTGCCCTGCTTTTGGTCTGTGATTTAAACGGATAAATCATTGTCATCTGCAGAAGATGGTCCTTCAGCAGCTGAGGATTCAGCAAGAAAAAATTCTCGTGGCAAAAATGGGTGACGCAGATTAAATCCTGTCTCCTGGAGAACTGGGAGAAGTTACGGATGGGGTTTTGTCTCCCATCTCCAAAGACCCTCCACAGACTGGGAGCGGGTCCGTGCCCTGCTGGGGTTTTAGCAGGTGGGTCAAGGATGAACTCCCTGACGTGGCAGAATATTCCAGTAGCTGATCTGGGCTGGCATTTCCCACGTTCCTCACCAAGGAACGAGGAATTACAGCAACAGTGGGTGGGAGACCTGTCACACCACGGACCAGAGAATTCTCTCCTTAGGAGGAAAACCATCTCCGTGTTTTCCAAAGGGAGAGCATAAAAATATTTAATAAACCAGGGACTTTTATGAGCCTGCTGTTCACATGTTTCTCCTTCTGCTGCCGAGTTGTTAAAGCCCATCTATCCTCTCTGATCCCTCGGCTCATTTGTGGGAACAGACTAATCTCCAAGCAGAATCTCTTGTTTAAGCAGCTCCATGAAGGGCGGGATGGAGGAATATCACCATCCTGAAGTATCCACGGTACCTTCAGTACGTACAGGCCAAGATACTCTAAGGACAGGACACCTAAGGAAATGTGGTTTCGTGCAATAGATAACGCAGAGATTCACATTATTTAGGCCCACAGAACACTGGGTGATGGGCTAGGTCTGATAGTTGCTCCTAATCAACAAGTTTGTCATCTTGCTCTTGAGCAAAACCCCATCAACACCCAGTTCTTCCATCTAACGAAGCAACGGGAGGGAAAAACCCAACAACTGCCTTTGAGAAACCAGCGACTCTTTTGTTCTGGTTGTTCCATGAATCCTTTCTGACCCTTGTAACAACATATAATTTCTCCACAGAACCTTTTAGTAAACGTGAGATTCAGACAGCAAGAAAATAATAATAAAATCATGGAATGGTTTGGGTGGGAAGGCACCTTAAAGCCCCCCCAGTGCCACCCCCTGCCCTGGGCAGGGACACCTCCCACCACACCAGGTTGCTCCAAGCTCCCTCCAACCTGGCCTTGAACCCCTCCAGGGATGGGGCAGCCACAGCTTCTCTGGGCAAATAATTCAGTAAGTAGGCCCACAGTGTTCAAAAACATATAAAACAGGAGTTTCCATCCTGTTTCAGTCAGTGTATTTCCCAGCTTTATTGCCTCTGACAGTCTGGACAACGCACACATTTCTCAAGAGCGAGTGAGTAATTTCCCATAAGCTTTCTCAAAAAATTGAGAGAAAATTGGGTGAAAGCTGTTGGGTGGAAGGGTTATCTTTTTTTGCCAGTGCATGTTATACAAGGCTCATCTAATTTTCAAGAGAGTCAGCAGCCGGGCAGGCTGGGGAACAGAGCGACCTGCATTGCAGCCAGGGCTACGTGACGGCTGGAACGGGCACCTCCAAGCACTGGAGAAGATGCTAGAAATCTGTCCCACAGGCAATAAAAAAGTCAGTGGTTGAGAATTAGTAGAGAACAAGGATGTGGAAGAAACAAGTTCTGAGTTTCACCAACAGAATCCCAGATTGATAGGGGTCAGAAAGGACCTCTGGAGATCATCTCCTCCAACCCCCACCCAGAGGAGGGCCACCCAGAGCAGGTCCCACAGGAACGTGTCCAGGGGGGTTTGAATGTCTCCAGAGAAGGAGACTCCACCACCTCTCTGGGCAGCCTCTGCCAGGGCTCTGCCACCCTCACACCAAACAAGTCCCTCCTCATCTTTTGGGGGAACTTTCCCTGTTCCAGTTTGTGCCCATTCCCTCTTGTCCTGTCCCTGGGCACCACTGGAAAAAGCCTGGCCCCATCCTCCTGACACCCACCCTTTGAGTATTTGTAGGTGTTGATCAGATCCCCTCCTCAGTCTTCCCTTCTCCAGACTAAAAAGCCCCAAGTCCCTCAGCCTTTCCTCATAAGAGAGATGTTCTAGTCCCCTCATTGTCTCTGTAGCCCTTTGCTGGACCCTCTCCAGCAGTTCCTTGTCCTTCTGGAACTGGGGAGCCCAGAACTGGTCCCAGTGCTCCACATGGGGCCTCCCCAGGGCAGAGCAGAGGGGCAGGATGACCTCCCTCCACCTGCTGGTCACACTCTTCTTGATGCCCCCCAGGATGCCATTGTCCTTTGCCACCAGGGCCCATTGCTGGCCCATGGGCATCCTGTTGTCCCCCAGGACTCCCAGGTCTTTCTCCTCAGAGCTGCTCTCCAGCAGGTCACCCCAACCTGTCCTGGTGCAGGGGGTTCTTCTTCCCCAGGTGCAGCACCTGCACTTGCCCTTGTTGAATTTCATCAGGTTCCTCTGCCCAACTCTCCAGCCTGTCCAGGTCTCGCTGGGTGGTGGCCCAGCCTCCTGGTGTGACAGCCAAAAATAACAACCAAATGCTAAGAAGTTTCAGAGGAACACGCTCGTACCGGCCCCCTCCATGGGTTTGAAGACGGGCTGCGACTCAAAGTGCAGGTCTCTGTCGTCCATCGTCCACGAGTCGTTGCGGTCGAGGAAGTCCTTGTAAGACAGCTTTTCATCCATGATTTCTCCTGGGAAAACTGAAATCAGAGGAGAAAACCACATGGTCAGAAGTGAAACATTAAGCTGAAATATTTAGAATAGATTACTGCATGATATGACATTGAGAGGCCAACAGTTAGCCAAACCGAGATGATGAATATTCATTTTTTACCACTTTGATCCAACTCTTCAAATACAAGAAAGAGAATAACGGGATTTTTTACATCTTGATAGACATCTAAGATCAAGAGTGGATGCACAGATCAGAGTGATCTCCTGTTTTCAAGCATCGGACAATTCACCCCACCTTCTCACACTCCTCTCTGGGGAGATTTTTCACTAACTTTAGGGCTGGAACAATCCTGAGACCCTGAATTTGGAGGCAGAGCAAAGCTTTCACGTCTGGCAACAGGGAAACACAACACACAAGTTGCACGTTGGGTCACAGCAGGGAAGGAGGGGAAGCAAAGCCCCTTCCTGTCCTGCCCATCGACTCGCACGCACCAAACCCCACCATGCAACGTTATGCTCTAATAGAAATTCAGATTGTAGAAGAGTCCCTATTCACATTCTGATCCAACTAACAACAAAAAATATTTGAATAACAATAACACACATATATTTTTTACCCTTATGTGAGCTCCGGGGGCTGGAGAACGGGAATTCAAGGGATAATTCCAGTAACCACAAGCTCTTCTACTACATCACTCCTGGGTAAACCCCCCCAGAAAGAAAGCGCTGGGGAACTGCTCCTGAATAAACTGAATTTCTGTCCGTCGGCGCAGTCATTCCCACCCCTCTCGTGCTACGCCCCCCCAGATGCTCCGAGCATCCTAAAGCGCCGCTGATTTGGCAAGAGGAGGCTGCTTTTCTGCCAGTGGCTTTTAGCCCTTATTCCGCTCCGTGCCCGCGTTTGCCACGGTTGACTGCAGCCGGGAGGATACAGGAGCTTCCCAAGGCCCAGCTTGGTGGCCATTCTGGCTCCTCCGTGGCCACCCCCAGGTGTGACGGTGGCAAACGGCACCCGGGAGGTGACACCCGAAGGCAACAACCCCCCCCTTTCCCCACATTCGGCAGAAGAACCAGCGTAGGCAACGGCGGCTGAGCAGGGGGTCGCCTGAAGGTTGACAATTTCAGCAGGAAATATTTGATTAAGACAGACACTGATCGTTTAGATGTGCGAGGTATTTTGAAGAGAAAGTGTCACTCCGTGTGTCAGGAGGCATTATTTATGATTATTTGCGGTGCAGAATGGCAAGGGATTTAATTACATGCTGTCGTAAATTCTTCTGGACGGGAACCTGTCATTCATTTGTCTATAAAACTCCATTAAAAGCAAAAAACCAGAAGATCACAAATGTCCTTGTCAGGGTGAGGAAGACACCCGGGAGCAGTTAAGAAAATTTGACATGAATTTTCTCAAAGATGCCTTGAACTGAGCTTCAGATAACACTCACAGTAAGTTGACCAACTGTAGAGCACATCAATTGAACCCCAAATGTTTTAATTAAATCTGTTAGTACCAGATCACAAATACACGTTAGACCAGGAATACGGGTTGGCATATTGCTATTATTAATAGATCTCACGGGGGAGGAACGTAACATTAGACTCACAACAGGTAAACAGAACTAAATCCTCCACTTTTATTTTTTTGGGTGTTTTTTTTAGCAGACGGGTTGTGTTTGTACCTTCGTTTCCAGGGATGGGGCATCTCCCACCGCTCTGGGAGACCTGGGCCAGGGTCTCCTCCTTGTGTCTACTCTAAATCTCCTAGAAAGGGGACACTTCCAGCTTCTTTGGTGCCCCCATCCCAATATTCAGTTCCTCCTTATCCACGCTTGGTGGAACACAAGAAATGGACTCTCAGAAACAGGGTCCCAAGGACTGCAGAAAAGAGGACTTTTCAGCTCCAAACCCAGTTCTGGGGACCCTCCTAAAACACACACGGTCTGTGCGTGGTCTATGAATAAACGATAAATTAAAATAAAAGGCAACAAAAATGAGGAGCCAAACTCTTATCGAGTGATCCTGTAAGTGCCCATTAATACGTGGCAGCAGCAGGCAACGGACTCAACCCAAAATGTAAATTTGATGGATCCCACCAACCCGTAAGGGAATTTTACCCAGTGCTAAAGCTCGCCGAGGGCTGAAAATCCGGTTACGACGGAAGATAATATAAACCAATGTAGGATTACGGCTTAGAGTCTCGCTTAAAGAAAAGAAATAGCATTAACAACATACTTACAAAGCAAACTTGCTTCTGAAAGTAAAAATGCGGATCCCATGCAAGTGCACCTTCCCTCAACCGATCCCACCGCCGGCTCCGGGGGGAAAGAAAAAGGGCCAACCCTTTAGCAGAGCTGCTGACGGTGGGGGTTTGTTTGTTTTCTCCTCTGCTCTGCAAAGATCAGCAGGGTCACATAAGCCAATTCCGGAGTTAATCCACACAAACCAGTGCTTCGGGCACCCGGCGACACCGAGGCTCCCACCGCGGGGCAGCGCAGACCTCCGGAGGAGAAGACATCAACCTGTCCCCACCAACAGGTGGGACATCGCGCCCAACGCCCAGCCAGGAGCACTCCCAGGACAAGGATTACCACCATAAAGCCTTTTCGCCGCAGGAGATGCTAATCTGGAGAGGTCTCCGGCCAAGATCTCTCTAGTGAGAGGTTAAGTATCTTCAAAATGAATGAGTCTGCAGCCATGAGATGGCCCCATCAGCCCCACGCGACCAGAAAGAGAGAAGCTTAAGAGCTTCATTCCCAGAGCTGATCTCAAAGCTAATTTGCCCAGATCAGGGCATTGGTTCAGCATCTTAAAGGGATGCCGAGTTCTCCTTGCTGACATCACCCCTAAACCCGACAGAAGCAGCCAAGCCCCACCATAAATTCTCTACAATCTCAAAGGGAACGAAGTTCTCCCCATCTCCACAAGGTACGGTGTGGTACTGCCTTAAAAAGGAACTTTAAGAAGCGCCGTTAGACCTCAGGGGTTTGGTAACACACACATTTTTATATTCTACATGAGATTTTGAACTTCAGAACATCCCAGCACATGGATTCACGAGGTATCTGCCTGCATGTCCTCTCTGATTTTTTTTCACACACACACACGGAGGTGGTACCTTCAATGTGCTACCAACGGGGCTGGAGAGGATGGGATCAGGTGTGGAACATCAGGTCAAACCCCTTCAGGCAGCCAACATGTTCCAGGCTCTCCTTCCCAAGGTGTTCCTGGCTCTCATTCCCAAGACCTTCTTGGGCTCTCCTTCCCAAGACCTCCCTGGACTCTCCTTCCCAAGACCTCCCTGGACTCTCCTTCCCTCACTCAGGACACTGATGGATCCCTTCGGGCACGGAAAGCAGAAGCCTCACCTAAGAGGCTCCACAGTGTCTCTTCAAGGATGCTCAGCACTCCTTCTGTGCCTGCTGGCTTCAGAATAAATGGTACCTTGCAGGAATATCCCCTCAATATTTTATTATCAGATTCATTACTTTGTAAAATAGAACATTGTCGAGTTCAGTTCAGAGGGAAGGGTCTTAAAAATCCCTGTAAATGAGTATTACAGACAAGCTTCACCACTCAAACCTAAGGGATAAAACAAACAACTGCAGGGCAAAGGTTGCAGACCAGACACCAAAGGAAGTTTATACGTTTTTATCCAAGTGGATAAGAGCTCAAAATTAAAAGAAGTTTTTGCATTTAACAAATACATAAAGCACAAAACTGAGGTACGGAAAGCAGAAGCCTCACCTAAGAGGTTCCACAGTGTCTCTTCAAGGATGCCCGGTGCTCCTTCTGTGCCTGCTGGCTTCAGAATAAATGGTACCTCGCAGGAATACCCCCTCAATATTTTATTATCAGATTCATTACTTTGTAAAATAGAACATTGTCGAGTTCAGTTCAGAGGGAAGGGTCTTAAAAATCCCTGTAAATGAGTATTACAGACAAGCTTCACCACTCAAACCTAAGGGATAAAACAGACAAACAACTGCAGGGCAAAGGTTGCAGACCAGACACCAAAGGAAGTTTGTACGGTTTTATCCAAGAGGATAAGAGCTCAAAATTAAAAGAAGTTTTTGCATTTAATAAATACATAAAGCACAAAGCTGGCAACATCAATGGAGGGAACTTATCCAGACCAGAGCCATCAAACCAGTTACTTTCTGCCCAGTGACCTCACTCTCGTCAAACTGAAATACAGGCTACTCCATTTAAACTTCTCCTTTTTAAAAAAAAAAATAAAATCTGAGGGAACCTGAACACCAGACACGTTTCCCAGAGAAGTTGTGGAGTCTCCATCCCCAGAGACAACTCAAACCCAGCCGGGCAGAGCCCGAGCAGCCTCCTCTGGTTTTGGGGTGGGATCAGGACGTTAGAGGTACCCTCCAGGCAGGAACTTCAGATGCTGCTCTGGGAGAGAAGAACTTCTGCCCTTGCAGAAAAAAAAAAGGGCTGAGCTACCAGGAGCCAGCGCTGAAACCAAATCTAGCTGAAATGACTCTAAATACTTCAATTTGCTGCAATGAGAAGCACATTAAAACCATAAATACATAAAGCACAAAGCTGGCAACATCAATGGAGGGAACTTATCCAGACCAGAGCCATCAAACCAGTTACTTTCTGCCCAGTGACCTCCCTCTCGTCAAACTGAAATACAGGCTACTCCATTTAAACTTCTCCTTTTTAAAAAAAAAAATAAAATCTGAGGGAACCTGAACACCAGACACGTTTCCCAGAGAAGTTGTGGAGTCTCCATCCCCAGAGACAACTCAAACCCAGCCGGGCAGAGCCCGAGCAGCCTCCTCTGGTTTTGGGGTGGGATCAGGACGTTAGAGGTACCCTCCAGGCAGGAACTTCAGATGCTGCTCTGGGAGAGAAGAACTTCTGCCCTTGCAGAAAAAAAAAAGGGCTGAACTACCAGGAGCCAGCGCTGAAACCAAATCTAGCTGAAATGACTCTAAATACTTCAATTTGCTGCAATGAGAAGCACATTAAAACCCGCCATTGAGCGTGATGGGAAAAGGGAGAGCAG